GTCTATATATAACATCAATAACATATATAAGATGTTATATATAGACAATGGCCGTGTGTGCGCTGTAGCTGCAGCGGAGTGGTTCTTGCTGCCAGTGCGTGCAACCAGTATACTGCGACCAATAGAAACAATCAGGATTGATAGACTCCTGATATTGATAGATTATAGGACTCAGGATTAATAGACTCCTTAATAGACTCCGTCTATTGATTGACTCCTGACACAATATAGGTAGACTCTATAGGTGTCTCTAAATATTTCTATGCTACGACCGCAAGTAGGCCTACTACCACGACGAAGGGGTTGTACGGCGGGCCTTCCATCCACCTAGCGCAGTTCACGAATCTCCAACAACTGTCAGTAGAGTTAGACAGGATTGAATGTAGAATGAAGCATCCATCGCATGATAACTAGAGATAGTAGTTGTAGTTTGTAGCGGATATGGCTCACGGTGCACGCGCACTTGGTTCGTGATGCCGTAGCCTTGCTGGCACCACGTAGTGCAATAAATATAGTATACGATTGCAACTAGACTGCTAATACTAATACTAAGCCGTACTTGTCCTGCCATTTGTTGTTCATAGCAAGAATAATCATATATACATGGCCAGAAATGTGTAAACCCTGTCAGGCATTGAATAGCTTTGCCTCAAATTATCTACATATTTATTTTACTAAAAGAATTCTGTTTTATTTTGGTTCAATTATTCATTTTTGTAAGTGGTATATAGTAGCGAGTGATTTACAAACGCTCCCCTGTCCACCTGATATCCGACCTATGTTAGGTATTATCGAGAGACCATAATAGAAGACTATATATAATTCTACTTTCTATTATGGACTCTTGATATTATTGATAAGATCACGAGTCCACAAACTATTGTGCATATAAGGAAGGTAAACGGGGGTCCATTCCCAGTTTCCTATTATTCCTATTATATGTAAAAATGTCTACCATTTCACAATTAATTAAAATAGCAATTTTAGCTTTCCTACGTATCTATTCATCTGTTATTTCCCGGTTACCAGATTATTAAAATGGCCCAATCCCGCGCCCCGAAAATAACCGACCCTCTCTACAAAGGTTGAGTACACATAACGTGCAATATATGTATATATATATATATGACAGTTTATGTCATTGATAGTAACAGTATACGATGGGCCTGCATCGCTAGTCACATTGCAGTGTAAAAACGGACATGTGCCTGCGTTTTACGAGGCCAGCACCACCGACGAAGCCATGTTCCTTGATGATTACGTGAAGATGATGGCGATTTGTTTTGGGGTAACTCGACATGTTTGTAGTGACAAGAGCTATAACAAAAGTATCTGGGCCCCATTAGACAATGAACTGCAAAGAATTTAAATAGAAGTAAATGTTAACTGCTATATACATATATACACGTATTAATTATCTGTATAAGTTAAAATATTAATTTATTTATTTTTCTTACTTTTTAGGTGATTATCTATCACCAGTAAAGAGCTAGTGTTGAATATTGAAGTTTTCATTCACATCTGCTTTTAAATTCTCAAACTATTCTTGTCTACTGAATATAATCTTGCAATCAGCAAACCACAAAATTAAACCGTCTATACTTTGGTACAATTCAGTATTGAGCCCAAGCGCGTAGCCAGGGAGGACCTAGGACCCCCCTCCCAATCAATATCAAAATAAAAATAAAAAATATCTATTTTCTTTTTCTCTTAAAAGCGCGTAGTCCTAATCCTGGCCTAATCCTATCCTATCCTATCCTAATCCTAATCGCGTGGCCTAATCCTGGCCTCGTTAAAAAAATTACAATTACAATTTTAATTATCAGATAGGCCTTATATATTTTCAGTACCGTATTCAAAAAAATTATTTTGATGTAGCAAATTGCCAATGTATTGATTTTAAAGCACTATTTTTATGCTAGGTTTAAATTATGTTCCCGGCGGCCACGGCAATCACGTTTCAGGCCACCGTGGACAAAACGGGATGGACTTGAAACAACGCGGGGGGACGGAAAGGGCAAACGTGACAGGCCGTGATTGCCGTAGATGCCGGACCAGATTTTTAAACTGTCAGAAAATTTGCCACGGCAATCACGGTGCGGATGAGAAACCTAGTAGGACGTAGTAAAACGGGGTGAACGCAACAAAACGTGACAGTACGTAATAGGCCGTAACAAAACTTGGAGGCGGTCCGTAGTGGGACGGGAAGTATGTGTATTACGGGCCCGGCGCGCTACGGCGCGTTGCGTTCTACTACGGTCTGACACGGCGCGCGCGGTCTGGGAGGGAGTATATAAAAGCCGGGCCAGGCAAGGGAGCTTCATTCGAATTCAATCGACGACACATTACTGCATCTACAATACGAAGATAGAAGACCAAGCTTTGAAGAAAGAAGGCCAAGCTGCTGCTGGCCTTCCTCTTGCTGACGCAAAGATTGGATGTATGCACCCAGCAAACATGCAAACACAAAATCTTCATCATCTTGGGCATTCATGATGTTGTCTCGTCGAATTCTCAGGATACAATGATTGCTATTGCTTGGGAGGCCTTCTTTTTATACCGTGGGCACAAACGTGCTCCAAAGCTGCCCGGCGTCCACGTTTCATCATGAGAAAGCCTTGACAAAACGTGAAAAACGTGTCAAACCTTGATCAGAACGTGAGAAACGCGAGGGACCCCATCAGAAGGTGACGGGCCGGGAGGGAACGTACTGGCATCCGTGGTAGACCGCGGGCCGAACCGTAGTGCGCCTTGGAGCCTCCTTTCCCCCCACGGCCCGTCACGGATACCGTAATAGACCGTGAGAAAACTTAGCAAGACCTAACAAAACTTTAATACAGAGAAAAAATGGCCAAAATCCCACGGCGCACTACGTTTCGGGCAAACGGGGCTGTCGTGGGCGCCGGGAACATAATGTAAACCTAGCATTAAAATTCAAAAAAATTATTTCAGACCACAAGAACTCGCTGACCACAGTTACTCGCTCGAGGACCCCCCCCCCCAATCCAAATTCCTGGCTACGCCCTTCATTGAGCCATATACTGACCTTTACTACGCCATAGTAAAACGTGGCAACACAGGCGTGACAAGGCCAAGAACATCAATGTAAGATGTGGTTATTTGACATAACTATGAATATAATTAACGTTATATACATTCTCATTATTACTTGGCATAATTGTGGACAATGCTTTCAGCTGATGATAACAGAGCTTAGCCTGGCGGTGTGATTTCAATATTGGTTTAAAAACAATCCGTGTGTGATGTAATTTTCTATTATGGACTCTTGATAATATCAAGATCATATAAAACTTCGGGGTTATATGCGCTCGATACTATTGCACACGTTCTCTCGTATACATATGTTCGTGGTAAAGGAGAACGATTCCATTACACATTCTAAAAATCACGAGTCATATATTGGCTAACGAATAGCAGCACTCTTTTTCAGTATTGTTTAAGTAGCTACAAAGCACAACATATTCCACCGCGTGTATCCACACAAGTTGTCTATTTGTCTAATGCTCAATATCGTAGATGTAGTTACGACTGTTTGTAAATATCTGCGTGTTAAACCGATTCGTTTGCATGCGGGAATAATATTACCGGTTACATTTAAAGCTGTTTATCGTTATATCTACTAGTCTCTGTTTGCACTGTGTCGTGATGCTGTATGTGGATAGCGCACATTTGTACTTTGAGGTTCATTTCCTGGTGACATTCTTAGTTCGGGCATGATTCTGAGACGTGAGTACGTGCTAGCGAGCAGCATAACCAGGCCTGTGGCTAAAATACGCAACTCACTCATTTGGATTTTGATGACGAATATCTACCAAGACTGACCAAACAAATCGTCCACGCTTGCTCAACCGTTAAGGCCGCCGCACACCAGCCGATTTTTACAAACGATGAAGCGATGAAGCGATGAAGCGATGAAGCGATGAAGCGATGAAGCAATGCAGCGATGAAGCGATGAAGCGATGAAGCGATGAAGCGATGAAGCGATGAAGCGATGTAGGTGTGCGGCGCACACCTACGATAATTTCTTCAATATTTATCGCACACGATTTTCCTGAGGTCACGCGCACACCACAAAATCGCGTCCAAATAATCGGTTCAAAATCAAACATGTTTGATTTTGGAACGATCACCCGATAAAAATAAAATCGTCTACAAATGAACGCGCACACCTACATCGTTTCATCGCTTCATCGCTTCATCGCTTCATCGCTTCATCGCTTCATCGTTTGTAAAAATCGGCTGGTGTGCGGTGGCCTTTACTAGACACCGCTACTACGCTCACACGTTTTAGGGGGCTTACAAATTCTCGATTTAGAAGGTCTAGGGTTCTATACCATCAAAAATTACGAAATTCTCATTTGACCACGACAGAAAGTCAACTATAAACAATGCCTTACAACTCCATGCACGGAAATCCCTCCCCCATTTTACTGCAGGCTTTATATAGCGCGGAAACCAGGGGTACGTTGCCAGAAACAAAAAATAGCATTAACACTCATTTTAACATTAAACTTGACACAGCTTGACGTATTACGAAGATTTGTACCTATAACTCGAGGTAGCGTATGAGATTGTTTACGAAGTGCATATTCTGCCACAATATGTAAAGTTGCCACACATTTCATTCTCTCTGCTCATTATATTTTTACACCAAATACATATACTTGTTAAGATTTTCTAATGACTGAACAAAGGTAATCAGGCAATCTAGCTCGAGGCGTTTCGCTGTGCAGTTACAGGATCGAGCAATATCGATTATGTGACTGAGAATAAAACATCGAACCTGATCAGGATTTACTGGTCGTAATTAATTAGCCTCTGAAATTTATCTTGCATTTTTGATCGACGAAAACCATGTAGCAACGCATACTTCACAGTAAAAAATAGGGCCTCCAGTGAAATTACTAGGCAATTATACTAGTGTACGATCAACAAGGGGTCACTTTACAGAATACACAAGAAACGTCAATCTGAATCACTGAGCCGTTCGTAAAAAAACCTTCAAATGAGTAAATTTTGGAATGCATGACTCAGACGTTTAAACGTTTATGCAATATACGTACATCACACCATATCACAACGGCAAAGTCGATTAACACAAGAGCAATTACATTTAACTATAATCACAAAACAACCTTGTTATTTTTATAAACACAATTATGTTATACACCATGCACTTAAAACTTCACTATTAATATATTTCTAAATAGGACTATTTACCGATTTAAAAGTAAATGCTTATTTAAGACCGAATTAATCACTGCATCCCTAGTTTCTCATATAATATATATCATATCATATAATGCGTCTCAGACAAGATTATTGTAATCACGAACATATAGCAGTAAATTACTTGCGCAGTGTATTGCGCACAGCTTGCTTTTTCACCCAACATCGCCAGCACCAGTCACATTAAACATAGCTTCTTATATGTCAATCTTGCCAAACGTCATAAACAAGCAGATACACACCCAACCCTTTAACAGATGGTAATTCTTAACTTTCATTTCTGTTTTTTCCTGAGAGCTCTCTTTCTTATATCAATGTGCATCTTCAGTGAGACGTAGTCCACCAGCCAGTCTGGTGCGAGGCCCTGAACCACAAATCCCTGCAAAGGAGGTATTCAATTTATCATTATCGCAGACAATGGCGGGCAAATTACATGTGATCGGTGACAACGCTGTAACTTACATACGTCCATTCATATGCTATTACTGACTGCTAGGAGTTTATAAACGATTGATTACCGTACATAAATATTTTTAGGAGCAACTAACAACCACAACTGTATGCTAACATGGTACAAGCACCACGATATCCCCACTACAACCATTACCCACACCACAACCAGCAGCAACAACAACAGCATCAGCAGAAGCATCAACATCACCAACAAAAAGCAACAATGACGGCAACGATGACAATGGCGGCGGAAGCAGCACCAATAAGTCCACGATCTACCACTAATTATACAACAAAGGCAAAGCATACTCTGCATGAACATGCATTAGCAGCATTAACATGTAAAGCAAATAATAATATAGAGGAAAAGCATGGTCAGCCATCACTTGTCTATGATACAGTTCAATGACAATGCAGAATAAGCTTAACCACAGTAGGTCTGCGACCTACCTCATTTCATTACGAAATTATAGTAGTGCCATTTTATTTTTCACTTGAAGATATACTAGATAGAGCATGACTATATATGCTACTAGCCCAAAATGCAATCCAGCACAAATGTAGATAAGGTAGTCCACATTTGATACAACTTTCCCAACCTTGAAAATACAATGTTGGATATTTCCGAGTGTAAAAACGTTGCCTACAAAACTATTCGTCACATAAATAAAACTTCTATCATACGGTTTTCCCAATAAGGGAATAAAATCAATAAAGCATGGCTGGCCAAAAAGAGTCTTATTTGCTATTTCCAGCATAATACATTCCAAAAATAACTAATATGAGGCCGGCCCTTCGACCAGACGACCATGCATTGATTCCAAACTTTGAATTTTGGCTGTATTTCTTTCTCACGACCTTATATCTGCAAAACAGTTTGTTTCCTTGTGGATGTGCAGAAGCAGTCTTGTAGCAGACATCACATGTAGCTATCTAGCACCACGCAACACTAAAGTAGTAGACGTACGGCACATCCCATCACGCATCTACTAACTAGGTTTTTAAATCTGCTGCCACAATAGTACCTAAACTAAACTTGAAAAGAAATAAACGAATACACATTGATTGATACACCACCGCAGAATAACAACCTGCTTGGTTTAAGATAGTGCTATTCGGATTTCTTCGCCGCTGCCTCTGCCCTCCGTTTATCTCTGGCTTTTTGTAAAATACTCATGATGGCATTGATTCGTATAGATAGTGGAAGGGTTTCATAACAAGCTGCCTGTACAAGCAAGAGTACATCCTAGCTTCAGTTCAAATTATATGACTATGTGTCTATGTGTTATGTGTCCATTTATTGACTAAAATTATGTGAAGCCTCAGATTCGAGAGCCCATTATAGAAGCACACGCATGCAAACGTGCATACTGGCACACAGAAATACTGCTGCCATTCTGTTATGATAATAGACATGCATCAACCACTCTGTTACGAACATATAGACGTCACTTGCATGCATAACTTAACACTGAATAACTATGAGCAGAGAAGATGTAATTACCTGCAAGGCATGAGCTAAGCACCCAAATGTCTTACTCGCCACTCCAATAGTGCCAATCGCTTGGTCAACATAGGTCGCGGGAGTGGGCATGAAGAAAGATGACTTTTTGATCTTCGACATGTTCGTCTTCACAAAGAATGGAAGCACTGACTGCAAAAACAATTTATGCTGTGAGTGAACAAAACGGCTGATAGCAGGAATCGAATTGGCAATGGTCAGACATTTTAAGCAGAGCTATAAGTCATAAAAAAAAGTCATAAGCAAAGGTATAAGGCTGAAGTCAGTGTCTGACGATTCTTCTATGGCACAACTTGTGTGTCAATATCTTTACATACAGTTAGTACTTACAGCTAGTAGCTATGCGATCTAAGGGTGGGTGAAGTTTCATGCTGAAATGCCAACATTAAATTGGCGCTAGTGCAATAACAGTGGCGACACACTTATCCCACTTACCCAACTAACCTAAGAAGCAATATCAAATACCTGAATAATAATACCCTTGTCCTTGTATTCTCTCTCCAATGCCTGAGAGAAGTAGTCTACAAACACCTACAGAATTAGGACAAGAGAGATCATATTTAGTAAGCAAAAAATATTTATATAATCTTGGCTCATAACAATTACGCTGCTAGTTTGCTACATATCTATCTATGACTCTACCGCAGTGTGACATCTGCAATTTACACTAAATTCTGATGAAATAGGTATCTGGTTTATTGAATGCAAAGGGGTGGGGACTTGCCCTGATCAATGAATTCTGGATATATGATCTATTTTGTAGTATATGTGTATCTATTTCAACTGAGACTAACCATTGACACAGTAGAAAACTAACGAGTGCTGCCACAAAAGAAGTGATCAGAAACTCACTAGGCCCTCTTCTGTATCCACCACTGCTTTACACATCACAGGAAGATTATTGATTATGAAATGTTTAATATTTTACAAAAAATAACTATACAAACCTTGGAGGCAGAGTATGTGGCTAGCAAGGGTGAGGGCATCATGGCAGATGCAGATGATATATTTACAATTACACCTTTTTTTCTATCAATCATCTGTGGCAGAATGATGTTGGTCATCTGAAATCAGCATACATAATCACATGTTATCATGCCTTTGACTCAACACTAAACTATAAAATTTCCCATTGGAAAACTATGAGCTACCAGTCCTCAGTACACGTACTAAAATTTCATCCTTCAATTTAATTGAATCTCATGGCCTATACATACATTTTAGATTTCAACAGGTAAAATACATCCAAGTGATTAATTCAATGATATAAGAACCTCTTTTGACTTCAATGACAATGCATATTTTCTATAGAGAAAATGTGAAAAGATGTACTAATTTTAAATGTCACTACGACAGCATAGGCTCACTCCACCCATGGGAATCCAATATATAACTAAGAACCATTTAAATAAAATTCTAGACCTCTGAGTTATGTATGTAGTGATGTATTGAATAATGTATGTATGTAATGATGTAGTGACATACGTGGTATTAAAAATCTGTTTGTTAGACTGTTTGACTATTTTGACTTCTGCACTGCTCATTGTATATTGTCACAGATATATATATATATATATATAT